ATATTGCCACAGTCAATGGTAATCTAGATATTTTCGCTCAAATTATTCTCGGCAAATTAAAATCTACATCTAAATCAATAGCCACAGGGGTTCTGTCATCTCGCCCCAGAAAAAATGAAAAAAAGTGTTATATAGGTTTATGTTGAGACACATGAATCCCCCACACCATACTATTCGCCTCACAAGACATATTTACTCCCATAAAAATAATTTCTCTTAATTCCTTAAAGGTTAATATAACACTCATCTCAAATTTACTCCATAAAAATAATTTCTCTTTAATCTCTTCTAGCAGCTCCTTGTTTGGAACTAATTTTTAAGGGCCAGCATTAATCAAAATCTAGCCTCCAGTAATAACATCCTCAGACCTGGAAGGTTACTGGCTAAATTGAATTGATCTATAGACTCTCTCATCTACCCTTAGACCGCGTGTGTGGTTCGTGTAACTCATCTTCAAAATATAAACTCACACTGGATCTCATGACGATTACTCCAAAAGAGATTATTAATAGTGAACGGTAAACTAATCAAAGATCAGAAATTCATCGGTAATTATGCTCATTCTGGCGCATACCAAATTTATATGTAAGAATGAATACTCCGACATATATTAACAGGTGTTGACTTTAAAGTAATATGTTGAGATAGAGATAATCTTGGTCTCCTTCACACGGTTATCCTTTTAGGCGTTTAAGGAAATACATTATTTATTACTTTTCAAGGCATGCATACTGAATAAAAACAGCAAATATAGAAAATAAAAATTTCACAATCTTGGCCAACAGAACTAGCGCAACCAAACAGGAATTCACGAGATCAGGCCGGACAGAGGCCCCAAAATCGCAATCTGGGGCCCAGTCGAAGCAGTGACTTCCCTTAGCAATTAAATCAACAAAAATACTATTATAGGCACAAACATATTAGCACCAAAATTCCACATGGAATCTTATGGACTCACAGAGGCCTGCATCAAAATCATCCATAATTTGCGATTAAAAAGGGCAACCAAGATAGGTTCTCCAAAATCACATATTTCGTCCGTACATATCATGTGCATCCGAAAGAATCATACATAATACATATATAGAGGCCTACAGTAGGCCCGTCAAAATAATTTCAAAATATATCTTTTTCGTTTAATCGATCACTATTGACATCTCAATGCCCTTTGTAAAAAATAATCACAATTTTTTCTCTTTAAATAAAAAAATTTTGGAGCGAGCTCGTGTCGTAGCTTATGTTCGCTTATCAAATATTCCAAATCGGAAGAGTGTCAAGAGTTATCTACTCACTTTTGCCCGTCTTCCAACTCTTACCGGAGTAGGGGAACTGCTGAGCCATATATATTCCATCCACTAGGTTTCTTTTCTTCGTGCCGAACGCAAGATGCTCTTACTCTCTCAAGAAAATTTTCGTCTGTTCCAGCAAATATATACATGCTTCAAGCAATGGGCAGACGATAAAAATGATCAATTACAGATCACTAATCCCAGAGGGCGCACGGGAAGGCCCTCATAAATGATTCAACACTTTTCGCGAGCCACATCCTCTTAGGCTTCCCTGAAATATTATCGTTCGAATCAGGCACACAGATGGCTCTCCAAGAGAACTTTCACCCAATTTCGATTTTTTTCTTGGACCAAGGGTTCCATAAAAATAATTTCTCTAATTTCCTTAAATTAATATAACACCATCTCAAATTTACTCCATAAAAATAATTTCTCTAATTTCTTTAATTAACCATAATTCACTATTCACTAATTCTCTAATTTCTCTAAAAATATTCATTACTTACTTTTACTCATAAAAATAATGTATACATACTCCAAAAATATTAAAGAAAATATTCAATAGACATAGTAATTTTTCTGGACCAAAATAATATCGACTTCTGGACTTGTGGTACTATTCACACACTGGTAAACTTATTATTTCAGACACAGAAAAATGGGGCGTGACATATTTGATTAAAAAAATTATAAAATTAGAAAAAAATGATTATATTGTAATATTTGGTTAAAAAAATATTTATTATTTTTTTAATTATATTTGATATAGGTCAAAATTTAATTACTTTTTAATCATATTTGATTTATTTTAAATAATTTTTTTAAATAAAAATTGAGCATTTTATACTTTTGGTTCAAATTCAATGGGTAAATTATATAAAAAGCTAATTTTTGGAGTTTGTATCTAAATTCACGAGGGGGAAATGTAGCCTTTTCTCCCATAGGTTTTCTCTGGAAAGATTTTATTTAAATTTTCTCTGCAGAAAATAAAAGCTTAGGAATGAGAGATTAAAAATGATCATACGATCCTCCGAGGGGTAAGATGGGATTTGCAGGATCTATTGTCCTTTTGTGGGCATGCATCGCCAATTCTGATTGGTCTTGGACCAAGTTAAGGTTTGACTGTTGATGGGCTCATCAAATATTAGCTGTCTCGTTTGAGCTTTGAATTGATAGCGTCAAATTAAATTATAGAAGGCCTAAGATTAATTCAATAGTAAATGCAAGCTTGGAGGTTAGCCGTTTCCCCCTTTATTTTTTAAAAATAAATATATATTAAGATATGTTTTAATTGTTGTTACCTTTGTACAGCGGTTTAAAGTGAAATTATTCTGTAAAAATAAATATTTAACTAACTATTAAAACATAAAATGATAAAAAAGTAAAGAAAATCATTTTAAAATAAGTCTTTTTAATTTTTTAAACAAGTAATGAAATAAATGTCAAAAATTATCCATTAATTATTGTGCACATTAGGTGGGATAACGTTTTATTAAATGCTTCTTTAATATCTAAAATTACTATATAAATTATATTATCGAACACCATAACTAATAAAAGTAGTATTTTGACCTAATCAAACCACTAAAAAGCTATCTTAAAAGTTATTATCAAACATGGTCTTAACAGATAAGATACAGAAATACTACAAATACACTATATGATAAAAAGATATTTAATAAATGTCGAATGCAGCCAACGTTCAAAAGATAAATATCGCAGATATAGATTTTAATGTGAATGTGTAAACACATAAGATTGAGTAAACTTAGAAATGACTAAATTTGACAAAAGGTATAAACTACATAAGTTGAAAATAAAATAAAAGAAATACGTTTAAGATAGCTTTTTTATGTCTCCCATAGACCTACTTCAATTTATAAATATGATCTTTTATAAATCTCGATCTTGATCTATAGGATTTTTTCGACAAAATTAGATGTTTTGATAGTTATTAGTCATTTTAGTAGCATTTAACTATTGATTGTTTTAGTAGCTTTTAACTTTTTATAAAACACGCTAAAAAATAGCGTTTAACATTTTGACTAATTAAAAAGCTGTTGTCGGACACAGTCAAAGTTAGTCTTGAAGGATGACAAACGAGAAAAAGTCAGTGGAAAGGAAAAAAAAATCATATAAATGATCCCAATTACTTTGAAATTATGCTATAGTCGTTATTGTTGAAACATGTTAGGATTTCATGAATGTTAAGAGGTATCAAAGCACTCCATAATTTACTAATCTTAGCAAAAGAAAATTAAATACGTGTATGCATACATTACAATGAGCATATACTAAAGTAAACTTCACATACCAAGACATGTAGTTCCTCAACAGAACGTGAAGAGAAAAAAGAAGTTACAATCAGAAAACTGTTCTAAGACTCTCATGAGCTCCTCGACCCTTAGTTCGGAAAAAAAAGAATCCAGATTTATCAGACATCAACGAGCCAAACTCGAGCTTCGAGCATAAGCTCGGCCAAGTCATATTTTTTTTTTTTTTTTTTACTATAAACTATAAACATCTGAAACTAAGCTCATGCTCAACTATTTTTAAACAAGACAAACTCAAAATCAATTCGCCAAAACCCAAATTGAGCTCAAAGCTAGTTATATTTTTAACGAGCTGAACTCGAACTCAACTGAATTTAAGGATGAACAGAGATTCTACACAAGTACTATTCAAACCCTAAGCTAATAAGGACATTCATTGACATGCCTCGTGGCTAGTATGATCAAAGGCTAGCTAGCCATTACTTATACCCAAAAAACACATGTTAATGTAATTTACTTAATAATAATTGCAATTCGAGTCGCATACATTCTACCATTTGGATAAGTGTTCATTTAAAATAAAAGAGAAGTTTATATTTGTGTTCCCTAAAAGAAAATAAAATGATTTAAATTCAAATGACTATCTGAACCAGCAAATCCCAAAATGAAAAGAAGACCGAGATGAACCTGATGTAGCTGAGAATTTACATACTCTGGAGATGAAGCAGCAACACATTTGTCATCTCACATTCAATTTTTGATGGATCTTGAATAGGAATTTAAACAATTGTAACAATGTTTTGAACAAAACATCTTCAATCTACAAATGTTAAATGAACCTATTTGTGTCTCCATCCATAATCATTCACTGAAAAATTTAAATTAATCTATTCTCATCAAATGTTCAAATTGATCCTCATGTCTCTAGTTTTTGGAAAACTTACAAACCCAACTACAATATTTGCGTGTATATATATAAGGATATATATATATAATATATTATATATATATATATAGAGAGAGAGAGAGAGACGAAGAGAGAGAGAGAGAGAAGAGATAGGTAGATAAGAGATTAGATATATATTAGAGAGAGAGTACTCATCATTCCAACAATTTTTGTTTATCAAAATCTCTTAATTAGAGAGAGAGAGAGAGAGAGAGAGAGAGATAGGTAGATAGAGATAGATATATATAGAGAGAGAGTACTCATCATCCCAACAATTTTTGTTTATCAAATCTCTTAATTTGAAGCATACACTGAATGTATAAACTCAATTCAGTTATTTTTTGCTCTCCCTCACTCCCTCATTTTCCCTCTTCTATTCTTTTCTTTTATTCATACTTTTCAACTTCCCCCTTTTGCTTCCTCTTGGCACACAAAGGGATGGAAACCAACCACAAAGCCAAAGATTGAAAATTTTTTCAGGCAATCACATGATTAGTGGAACTTCTTCTAAAAATTTTATTAATTGAATTCAAGAAGACAAGAACTCAACATTTTCCTTTCTTTCGGTATTGCAAACTACATCTCCATAATCCAAACTCTATGACAGTAATAGATCCTTCTCATCTCTAAAATTTAAAATCTTAATTAACTACCTCTACCTTAAATAATCAAGTTAAGAGAGAAGCAAACTAACCTTAAGAGATAGATCTTTCTTATCAGCTTTATTATATTGGGAGTGAAAATTTGATAACAACATCATCCAATTGCAGATATCCAATCTTCTAGAATTTAATTTTGTAAATTACTCACTTTCTTCTTTCAAAATTCTTCATCTGAAAACTCAACTTCACCCATATATCAAATTTCTCCATCAGAACAATTAATGGAGAGATATATTGAAGAGATCTATACATACCAAGATCCAATAGACTTGCATGCAAGCTATTGATGCTAAAGAAGTATTTTCTTGAAAAAAATCCCATGCAAGATCAAGAACAAGAAACCCTTCAAAGATCAAATAAAGAAGGATCTCCGTAATCCCAAATACTAGATGGTGGGTACTCATCATCATTTGTCAAAGGCCAAAGTGATGGAGATCCGGGTCCAACATGCATAACCGGATCTTGATTCGCTGGTGCAATTATCGGTTGAGTATTGCTTGATAAAGACAGACTAGAACCCACCGACCCCACCAAAGAACTAATATCCTCATACAATCCATGTTCTTGTTGTTGTTGATGGTGAGGATTATGATCATAATTAAGATTTTGGTACGAGGTTGTTGGGATCGAACTAGGATCATGGCCGGCGCTAAGACTTGACGTATAATCAGATAATGGGTTTTGATATTGATATTGGTACGGAATATTTGATGACATAGTTATTTGTTGTTCTTGTGGATTTTGTACTATGTTATTGGTACATAGTACGGTCGATGACCCTACAACATTTGGAAGATTCTGATAAACCCCGTACGGAACAAACCCAGATGAGGCGGCAGCCACCGCTGCTGGAGAAGCCATTGAAGTAGAAGAAAGAGAGAAACTGAAACCGAAACCGGAAGGACGAGGAAGCAAAGGTCGGAGAGTTTGAGTAGAGGAAGAGCTTGAACCGTTTCCACCGCTTCCACCGCCACGACTGGAGGAGGAAGAGGAAGAGTTTTGAGCAGAGGAAGAATTTAGAGGTTGCAAATTAAGCTGAGCTCTAGAACCGTAAAGAATGATTGCGGCGCGGTCATAAGCACGAGCAGCGTCTTCTGCGGAGGCGAAAGTACCGAGCCATTTACGGGTTCGCTTTCTTGGTTCTCGGATCTCAGCGACCCACTTTCCCCAGCTTCTTTGTCTAACACCTCTGTATCTAAACTTACTATTATCAGGACCCCCTCTTCCTTTGCATTTCTTACCTGCACTATCACTACTGGTATTGTTACTGTCACTGGTGGTATCACTTGTAACGCCGGCAGCGATTGTAGTGGTGGTGATTGTTTCAGAAGTGGTGGTGGCGGTGGTAATGGGGTCTTGGGAAGGATTAGAGTCCATGAAAATTGTGAGGCTTTTAAGGCTTTAAAAGAAAGAGCTGTTAAAAGACTGGTGGGTTTGTTTGAATGTCATGTGTATAAATGGTGGAAGAGGGCGGTGAGAGAAAGATTGCTGCACTGTGAAGAAAACAGTTGCACATTAGTTTTGGAATTTGGAATCATATTTATTATTTTTCTGTATTTCTTTTATTTTTTTTTTCAATATTACTGGATTTTGAATTCTGTAATTTTATGTCTTTTTATATAATTCCAGGTTTTTTTAAAAAGAATTATACAATTTCGGTTTTATTTATGCGTTCAATCTTGAATTTAAAAAGTATGAAATTTTGTTTAAGTGTTTAATAAAAAAAAAATAAAAACACACCATGTTTAACGAACTATAACGGAAGATAATATATTACTCTTTTATTTTAAAAATATAAATTGTTTTAAGATGATTATTTTATCCATAAATATAACTCGTTTGAAAATATTAAATTTATCTTTATTCATATTAAATGTAATAATTAATTCTATAATTTTTTGAAAGAAGTTAAGTCAAATTAATAAATATTTTATTATAATTTAGGAGAATTAGTTATTTTTTTAATTACCGTACAACAATCACAAAGCATTTATATTTGCGATGGATGAGCATGTACATTTGTAATCCACTACAATATTCTACTATGAAAGGCTAGATATATTTTACTTTACTAGAAGCAAAGAGTACTTCAAGAGTTATTGATTTAAACATTTTTCAGTGCAAAATCTTCATGGATCGACTTCCGTTTTTTGAAATAGACGAGAAATAATCGAGTTACATGTACCATTGACTACACATGAACTTGGACAATTCATAATCACAACTAAATAAATAATTTTTTATTTATTTACATTGAGTCCTTTAATTTTTATTTTGCCTGTATTAGAAACACAAAACTGAGAAGAAAAAGAATACACTCTTTTAACCACGTGTTTTTTACTTCCTTTGACGTCTATGAAATAAATTTTTAAATGTATAAAAAATTAAAATGGGAGTCAAAATAATAAATAAATTTTCAGACTTCAACAACTAAAATACGTCAAATTGAGAGCTTCCATATCCGTATTTTGCTTCTCTTCTCTGATTTATAAATTGAAATCTGTGACTAAGCCAACCAACAAATGTTACGAAATGAGTTGATATACATATATATTGGTATTCTACCTTATATAAAATATAAATATTTTTATCCTGTAAGATAGATGGCCAAAATTTGGTTTTTAGAACTGAAGTCATTAATTTCGAAACTAGTTGAAACCGGAATTGTAACCATGTAGAATCGAAATTGTAACTGAAAGGCTACGGTTCGGTTCTGGTTCTAAATCTTTTAAAACCGTGAACTGGTGGTTTCGAGAACCGATGATTCCAACCGGTTCAACACTTTTTTTTTTTTTTTCAAAAATTTTTATTAAACTCTTCATAACTAACTCTCTTAACAACTATAAATTGTCATATATCATTAATTATATTCAAGATATTTGTGTAAGTTAAATTTTAGATTTTAAAATTATGCGAATGCCTGGAAAAACGGTCAGAGAATCATCTAAATCTGTCGATTTTGGAATCGTAAAGGAACTGAAACTAGAAACGTAATCGGCTAGTTTCAAATCGGAACTATCAGTTTTCAGTTCAGTTCTTGTTCTACATTATTTGGATCAGAACTATTGGTTTTAAAAATAGAACCAGCGGTTCCAAAACTGTGGCTACCTCTAGTGTAAGATGCTATTGAAAGATTGATACTTGCGTCAATTCATCTCGATTCAAATGTAAAAATACGTATGATTTATTAATACTTGCGTCATATTTGGATTGGGAAACTCTCTCAGAATTTTTAAATGATCTTGACATCATTGACTGAAAGATTGATAAAATTAAGAATTCATATTTATAGGAGATACTTTCGGAAAGTTGTATATTTGGTATTTGGTTGAAGAGAAATTAATAATAGATGGGTGAGGTAAGGTGCGGCTCCTGAAGCAGAGGAAAACTGCAGCTGATGAAAACTGAGACTCTTCCGCAAGAAATGAAGCAAAGCTAACCAAAGCATTATATCACATCATCGATTTTCCTCCCTTTTACTTCTTGAAATGAGCTATTCATTTTTGTCATGTCCTTATCAATGTCAAAAGTTTTTTTTTTTTTTTTTAAATATATTTCTATGAATTTTCAAAACTTATAAATAGTTTTTTTTTGTCCATATTTAATTTTTTATTAATTAGATAAGGATATATTTATCTGTCGAATTTTTTGTTCTAGCTAACATATATAATCTTTCTTTTGTCTTCATATATGAAAATTTTCAAAAATTAAAATAGTTTTTTTTTGTCCATATTTAATTTTATTAAATTAGATAAGCAAATATATTTATCTTCGAATTTTTGTTCTAGCGTAACATATATTAATCTTTTCTTTTGTCTTCACTAATATATATATATATACTATATATATTATATATATAAATTAATTGAGAATATAATGTTTTTCATTCTTCATTTCAAAACACGCTTTTAGCTTATAAAATTAATTGAGAATATAATGTTTTTCATTTCTTCATTTCAAACACGCTTTTAGCTAACAAAAACATCTCAGCAGCAGCTATGAAAACCGATAAGGGCTCTATTAGGAACCAAAGGAGAACGAGTATTTCAGGGCACCCATGCTCTTTCAATTCGTTGAATGAAGCAAGGATAATTATAAATGGTGTTTAAATAGAAATAAATAGTGACATTACTACCTATAATTGATATGAATATAAGTCTTTGGATATTCATTATTTATTACCTGCTAAATTAAATGAGTTAGGTTATGGTATACGTGGCTACCTATCTATTATTAGTAAAGAAAAATACATTTTAAATAAGTTCGGATTTAGATAGTTTAAAATTTACGGACACCTTACTCATTTAAGAGGAACTTTTAAACGAGTTTGGACAGGATACAGATAATAAAATTTTAAATGCATTTGATTTCGGATACTTAAATAAGTATTTAAGCAGGATTGAAAAATATATATAGAAAACGAATACGGACACGGGTAGCTCAAAATTCACGAGTACCCACTAGGCTCTATATATGTATATTTACTATATGCTTGATAATATTAACTGTTTTAGTAGTGTTAATTATTAGTTATTAGCTTCTAGTTTTTTATACAGCGGTTTAGATTAAAAATGATTGGTAAAAATATTTGTTTAATTAGTTGTTAACTTATAAAGACAAAAAAAAAAGATATTAATTATTTAATTAGCTGAATTTGGAGAAAAAAAGTAATCAGTATAATTGTCAAAAAATTTAATTAATATATAAACGTTAAAGTGTTTAACATTTGATAAAAAAGCTCTCTCAATCATGATGTAGTAGGAATTGCTTATAGTACGACCGTTTACTTTTCTTTGAATATTAAAAAAGTTCTTTTAATCTCTAAAAGATTATAAAAGCCATATTATCAAACGATTAAAGTTTTGACTTTATCAAAATACTAAAAGTTAGCTCAAATGTAGTTGTTGAATATGGCATTAGTCCAAACTTATCATTAACTAAGGTTTACAACTTTTAGTAATTTTTGAGAAATAAGTAGTATCTTGAGTGTTTTCTTTTTTTTTTTTTTAAAGATTGGCTTTCAAGTAGTATATATTTACATAATTTATTTTTTTATAATAAAGTTTACAATATTAATATTAAAAAGCTTTACTATAAGAAAAATAGATAAGTCCATACACTTATCAAAATTCTGGTAATTTTCTTTTTAAATTTAATTAGTAGGAAAGTTGACCATAAATAGAGCATAAATGGTTTTTTATTTGCGTCTATTGAAATTAAATTCTTAAATTCATGTTTTTTTATGGAAATTAAATTCGCTTACTATTTTGATCAAAATATTAATTTTTTTAAACTCATCTAAAAATAAATTATGTATGATCCAAATACATAGGCAAAAGCTATTTGGTGTATATGGAACATTATTTTCCTTATTATAATATTGCATATGCTTCTAATATATCTTTGTTTCATTAGGTAACTTGTTGAGAAAAATACTTTATTTTGAAGATATATTTTTGGAAATAGAGACTGTGGGAGAGAGAAAAAAAATCTCCACTACGGGTGAGGAAACTTTGAAAAACTCCAAAAATTAAATCGAATCAAATTATTTTTGATTTTTGATTCAGTTATTCGGTTTTCCATTTTAGCTTCAGTTTGAAATCTTTCATAATTTCGATCTTCGGTCTTTGGATTGGTTATTTCAAAATATTTATTTTCTGAGTGAAACCGAACTGTTTGATCGAACTGAATTGACCAATTTGATTCAATTTTCAAATTTATTTCAGTTTGAGCCGGTTCAAAAAAAAATCTATTTTCAATTTTCGATTATTACAGCTCGGTTTCCATTTACACACCCCTGATCTCCGCAAGGAGAAATTTTTTTCCTAATTTTTTTTAAATATAAACTTATGAAGTATTAGCAAATTCTTATATTGGAAAGAAAATTAGGTGGAGGAAATAAAAATAGAACAAATTATTCAATGATGACTTCACATTTTATATAATAAGTATAATTTTGTGAGTTGAGGTGTTTCAATGAGTGCAATTTTATAAACGTTCGATGAGTACAATTTTACAAATCTAATGGCTTAATAGATCAATATAAAACACTTAAATTGTTAAATGTTTAATAGATTAACATAAAAATTGAGGATATTACAAATTTTAATTTCTTATAAGATTCAAGTGTCAAATTGATAATTTGGCCTATTCATTATTTATTATATAGAAAAAAAAAGAAATTTAAAAACAAAATAACAAAAGAACTAGTTAAATTGGGCCTAGAGGGAAAAGTCTAAGGAACTCAAAACAAAATTAAAAAATGACTAGATTTCATTTGCATTGAAGGAATTTGAGCGATGAAATCTAAAATTCCATGAATTTATTGGATTGTTTTGCTTGATTGAAAAAATATATATATATAAAAAATAACTTCTAAGAATTAATAAATTTCATCGTATGATGTGAATCCTATCATTTTAAACAGAGAGAAAATCTAATCCATAGGTGGCTGTTAAATTAAGGTCTGTCTGGTAAAATTAAATG